TATATATATATTTGAAAATAAAAAAAGAAAGAACTGGAAGCAGCTCTACAGAGCCCTTGACCAGCAGGTCCTTGAGTTCCATTCCCAGCATAATAAAATAAAGAAAAATTTGGTTCTTAGCACCCACAAGTGTCCATAACTCCAGTTCCAAAGGATCCAATGCCCTCTTCTAGCCTCTGTGGGCATTGCACAACACAAGTGCATTTACATACTTGTAGGGAAAATACTCACACACATAAAAGAAATCTCAGGCTGAGCTGGGCATAGTGGCGCACATCTTTGTGGCTTTAATCCCAGCAGAGGCAGGCCTGGTCTTCATAGAGAATCCAGGACAGCTGTGGCTACAGGGAGACCCTATCTCAAAAAAGACTAAAAAAAAAAAAATCTCAGGCTGGGGGTTGGAGAGATGGCTCAGCAGTTAAAAACACTTGCTGTTCTTCCAGAGGATTGGGGTTCAATTCCCAGCACGCACATGGCAACTGTCCATAACTCCAGGTTCAGGGGATCTGACACTCTTCTGGCCTCTGTGGGCACTGCACAACATGGGTACACTTACTCCTACACAGAATACTAAAAAAAATTCTCAGGCTGAAGAGATGGCTCAGTGCCTGCTGCTAAGTCTGATGACCTGAATTCAATCCGAGATTCAGATGGCAGAAGAGAACTGACGTGCACGTTGTCCTGACTTGCAAGAGAGCAGACGTGCGCGCTGTCTTCACTCTCACACACACACACACACACACACACACACACACACACACAAATAATAATAATAATAAAAAATAAATAAATAAATAAAAACGTAATTAACACTGACACTGGTTTTTTAAAAAAATCCTTACCATGGCTCAAAGCACTTGCAGACCATGACTTCGGTGTGGTTTTCTCTTGTCGGGGCAGCTCTGGCGGCATGGCCTTCTTGACTTGAAGAGGATAGCCACTGGCCACCAGCCAGGCCTTCAGATGGTCTACGTACTCCCTCCCGAACAAGGTGGAGTCCTCAAAGTTAGGGAAAGACGCAGGAGAGGGGGCGATGTCTTGGAGGCCCACGGCCTCCAAGATCTTCTCTTGCCGGAAGGAAGAAGCCAAGGAGAAGGTCTGGCCCAATAGGGCCAGAGACTTCCGGCAGAGAGAATTGGTGGTCTCCAGGGCCATGGCCAGGTCCAGTGGACTGGTGAGGGTCTTCATCTTCACGCTCAGCTCATATGCGTTGCAGGCCATGAGCAGGGGTGTGACGCTCTTCAGAAGGCGGTCCTGCAGCCGCATGATGTACTTGTCGAAGGGCTTGATGATCTCGAAAAAACAATTTTTGGTCTTCACAGCACCTTTGTCTAAAAGCATGTTTAAAAACTCATTATCGACTCGAGGTGTTTTCAGAGCAGAGTGCTTTAAAAATTTGATAGTAAAAAAGCAGAAATCTCTGTGCTCTGGTTTCAAGGAGCACTTGAAGGAGGCCAGCATCTTAGCACAGGTCTCGGTTTCCAGTTCAAAGAGGGTCTGGAAGAGCTGGGAGAATTTGAGGTCATCCTTGATGGTGTGGAACCCCGCCCACTTGATGATCTCGATGCCAAACCTTGAGAACACATCTGCCTTGTCCACGTTGTCAAAGCCCAGCTTCCTTGTGGGGAAGCTGAGGTTCCTCAGGTCCAGCCCCAAGGGAATCTTCAGAGTTGGGAACTGGATGTTGTCCAGTCCTAGGTTTGTCCCCAGGGTCACATCAGGACTCGGGGTGGTTTTCTGGATTTGGTTAGTGCCCTGAGGTTTGGAAATAACCTGACTGATGACAGGTGCTTTCTTTGTGGTCATGCTCTTCAGTGTGACAAGCTTCCCGACACCCCCCTTTGCTGAGAGCAGGCCCTGAATGTCCCCTTGTCCTAAGAGGGCGCCTTCCTGGTCGGTGATGTTGAGACTGTGGCCTCTAGCTAAGACCTGCCCACTCCCCCTGGGCACTGAGTCAACCTTCCCCGGGTGATCCGGGTCATAATCCCGACTCTCCTTGTCCATCCGCCTGGAGGAGGCCAAGTCTCCCAACACAGAAGATCCAAAGCCATAGTCCTGTGACCACGAGGATTCTTGAGAAACTGGGTGGCCCAAGTCTTGCTCCCAAGAGCCACGGAGTGCAAGCTTCCAGTCCTGAGAAGCGAAATGTCCCAATTTCTGGTGGCCAAAGCCCTGGTCCCGGGAGTCAGTGTGGGCTGATTCCAGATCATGGCCACATTCTTTTCGAAGAAAGATGTCCTGACTGACAGATGGGTTGCTGGGTCTGAAGGAGGGCCCTGCAAATACGTCGCCTCTCAGGCCCTCTCTCGTGGGGTCTCGAGAGTACACTCCAGATCCACTGGTGGAATACCTGCCATCTCTGTGAATGTCCTCATAGATGTCAGCTCTGGCTCTTGGGCCTGTTCTTAAAAGATCTGAAATAGATGGCCACAGACAGAATGCACTTCAGACCAGGGGCTACTAGGGAATGCCTATGCTGTCAGTCAACATAAGTGCTTTAGACCCAAGTGCACATTGCAAACGCAGGTTTGCTGCCAATGTTTAAAATGAGTGTGGAAGGGCCAGGGAGATGGTTCAGTGGATAAAGTGCCACCGTGCAAGTGTGAAAACCAGAGTTTGGATCTTCTGAGCCCACATGAAAGCCCAGCAGGAGTGGCTGCCTGTAATTCCAGCACTCAGGAGGCAGAGTCAGAGGATCCCAGGGGAAGATGGAAAGCTAGACCCGCCAGAAATGGCTACTCTGGGCTCAGCAAGAGACTCTGTTCCTAGATAAAGTAGAAGCTGGGCATGGTGGCATATGCCTTTAATCCTAGCACTAGATCCAGGTCAGCCTGGTGTACATGGTGAGTTCCAGGCCAGCTGAGGCTCCAGGGAGACCCTGTTTCAAAACAAACAAAAAACAAACAGAAAAACAAGAATAACAAATAAAAATAAGGATGCCAGGCACGGTGGTGCATGCTTGTAGTCCCAGCACTTGGGAGGCAGAGGCAGGCGGATCTCTGTGAGTTCAAGGCCAGTCTGGTCTACATAGTGAGTTCTAGGCCAGCTGAGGCTATGGGGAGACGCTGTCTCAAAGACAAAAAATAAATAAAATAAAAACAAATAAATTAAAAAAATAAAGTGGAGCGTGATTAAAGACGATACAGGACATAACTATAGGCCTCCACATGCATGTACACACAGGCATGCACACACATGAATACACAAATGCATATACTATACACACCATACATGCAAAAAAGGAAAACTATAAAAAAAATGTGTATGAAGGGGGTTGGACATGGGGGGGGGCACACATGCCTGCAATCCCAGCACTTGGGAGGCCAATCTTTGTGAGTTTGAGGCCAGCCTGGTCTACATAACAAGTTCCAGGCCAGCTGGGGCTATAGGAAACTTGTACCCACTGCTCTGTGGACTCTCTCCATTGCCTGTTGCACTTGTGCTGCATCTGGAAACTAACATAAGTTAGAGTAAGGATTCGAAATGCATTGAGGATCTGCTTGGTTTGCAGAGACACCAACCATCTCTTATGAAGGGGTGGAGCATCTTCTGTGCTGGGTTGAAGACCACATGCCTCATGGGCCCTGAGGCATGAGCACGGGCCTGAGCTTGTTCTCATGACCATCAGCCAAGGCTGAGCAGTGGGTGGCCCTCCTCACAAGCACAAATCAGCATCAACACAGATGCCCCAACTCACAACCAATACCACTGCCCCCATCTTGCTCACAGCTGTTGGGCCATACAGGCACCATGAGTTCCCCTCTGCCCTTAAGAGAGAGGAAGGGCTCTCTCACCCGCACACTTCAGACTTCCCACGATGGCTCCAGCACACAGTGTAATTTTAGGAAGCTGATGTCTTCACAGCCTCTGGAAATAATTCCTGACCCACACTGCCAACCATGTGGAGCTCTGAGGCCACATTCATCACAGCTGTGCAGCTGACTGCCCCAGCACCTGACCCCAATGTGGCTAAAAGGCCCATCTGGCCATTATCCCTCTCTGAGGCTGAAACAGAGGCCAGGCAGGTGGGAGGTGAGGGTAGAAGAGAAGCCACACTAAGCAGTGTTTTCCCAGACATGGAAAAGAGATGCACAAGCATCTTTTTGTTGCTGTTGTTCTTTTTCTTGAGACAGGGTCTCTCTGTAGCCTCACCTGACTTGGAACTTGCAATGTAGACCAAGCTGGACTTGAACTCACAGAGATCCTCCTACCTCTGCCTCCCGAGTACTGCGATTAAAGGCGTGTGCCACCACGCCCAGCCAAAAATTTAATATTTTCAATAAGTTTATGGTTTTGTGTTGGGCTGCATTCCTAGCTATCCATGGGCTATAAGTTAGACACATAACTAAGATTCAGTCCTAGCAGTTTTCTGGAGGCTAAGGCAGGAGGCCTGCCTGGGCTGGGCTCCAGTGAGACTTTTATTTATTTATTTTTTGGTCTTTTTGAGACAGGGTCTCCCTGTAGCCCCAGCTGTCCTGGAACTCACTATGTAGACCAGGCTGGCCTTGAACTCACAGAGATCTGCCTGCCTCCGCCTCCCGAGTGCTGGGATTAAAGGCGTGTGCTACCATGCCCGGCTGAGACTTTATTTTAAAGAGGGAAGGAGGAAGGTGTGGGTGTTGTGGCATTCCCTTTTAATACCAGCACTTTTGGAGACAGAGGCAGGGGGACCTCTGAGTTTGAGGCTAACCTGTTCTATGTGGCAAGTTCCAAGCCAGCCAAGACTACATAATGAGACCCTGTCTCAAAACAAAAACAAAACAAAAACTGGAGGGGGGTGTGCAAATAAAGGCACTTGTCACCAAGTCGGATGACCTGAGCTCAATCTCCAGAACTCACATGATGGAAGGTCTGAATCAGCTCCTGCAAGCTGTTCACTGACTTCTACACACATATACAGAGGAACCCTCCTTAGAAGCTGGGGTCTAGTTCAGAGGCAGAGAATGTGTTTAGCATGAGCAAGGCCCTGGGTTATCCCCAGCACTAAAATACCCTCAAATTCTTCTTTATGGGGAAGGGTGTGGGGCTGACCTGCTCTGCTTACCAACAATGGCACGTTCTGCCTATCATTCAGTTGGCAGGTAAGCCATGATGTTTTTGTTTTTGAGACAGGATCTCACTATATAGTCTGGCTGCCTGAAACTTACTATGTAGACAAGCCTGGCCTCAAATAGAGATCTGTCCGCCTTTGCCTTGGAATGCTGGTATGCACCACCATATCCAGCTCTTGTTTTCCGCCTGCCTCTGCCTCCCAAGTGCTGAGACTATAGGCATGCGCCACCATGCCCGGCCTCATCTTCTCTATTAAAAAAAATATAAATTATTTTTATTTTATGTGTATATGTGTATTACCCACATGTAGGTAAGTGTGCCCGTGTCGTGCAATGACCTCAGAGGTCAGAGGAGGGTGTCAGATCCTCTGGAGTTATGGGACTGGAGTTATGGACAGTTGTTAGCTGCCATGTGGGTACTGGAATTTGAACCTGGGTTCTCTGCAAGAACAATCAGTGTTCTTAAACGCTGAGCCATCTCTCCAGCTCCCATCTCCTCTTAACAAATCAAATAAGGATCAGAGCAGCTCCACTTCCACCCAGGGCACCAAAATCCTACCCTTCTGCCCAAGCTGAACATTTTAACTTACCTTGAGCTTTAAACTGAAGAGCTTCGTTGACAGCCTCACCACCAGAGTCCCCGTACCGTTTAGACTTCTCCTGTAATACGGCATCCAAAGATTCCTGAGCCATCCGCCTCGCTGCCATGTTTGTCCTACAGAAAAAGAGAGGACACACTCATCATAACAGCTCCTGCTCAGCACCTGCTAGTCTTTACGTCCAACCTTCAAGCCACCAGGGAGCCACACAATGTCTTGGTGTGGCACTTCCAAGGGAGGCAGATTCTCAACCACCTGAAACTCTCAGGTGTGTTGACTAACAACAGGTCATCCTTGGAACATGTTACAAGTCACTTCAGTCCTGAGGCTAGAGTGCTGGCTCAGAACAGGGGAACTGCAAGAATCAACAACCAAAGTAGGATGTAACAAGATTAGTAGGTACACAATCCTCAAAAAAGGTTGGGAAGATGCAGCCACTCTTCAATTTCAGACCTGGGAAGGGATTCCTAGAGCGCTCATCAACTCAGAGAGTAACCTCTAGACTAGTGGGTGGCACTCACAGAGGATAATAAGCTGGCAACAGCTCACTCTGGGCTAGGTCTCAGTGTAAGATCTCTTTTGCTTCTTGCAACAACCCACCGAAGACCTGGGCTCTGTTAGGAATGATGCTACACCACAAAGGGACTTGGGCCTGGTGGCACAGGCCAGTGATCCCAGGACTCAGGAGGCTGAGGCAGGGGGTATTTCCAGTTTCAGGCCAGCCAGACTACAGTGAGAATTTGTTTCTTGAAAATAGGGACTGAGGGGCTGGAGAGATGGCTCAGAAGTTAAGAACACTAACCGTTCTTGCAGAAGACCGGAGTTCAAATCCCAGCACCCACATGGCAGCTAACAACTGCTCATAACTCCAGTTCTAAGGGATCTGACATCTCCTTCTGTCCTCCACAGGCATTGCAACACAGATACACTTACCTTCATGCAGGCAATACATACATACACATAAAATAAAATAAATAAAATATTGTTAAA